ATTTTGTGTACTTTTCTTACAGTTTTATGCTTAGAATAATGAAAGCTAATGATCCCAATGTTTAAATTAGTGCTATTACATTACAAGCCATGAGAATAAAGGATTATTTCCCCCTATAAAGGAATGGATTTAGCTACAGCTATCCCTCTAGTGACGTCACGTTTAGCCACACCCACCGACAGGAAGTAACCTGGCAGAAAGGAAAAATGGGCATTTTTGAAGGTTCATATCTCAGTGAATAATTTTTTTCAGACAATGGGAGTTGGAACACATCATTAGTATGGTCAGGCAATCATATTAAGCAAATAAAAAAAATATCTCAAAAATGCACTGAAGTTACCCTTTAAAGTGGATTATAATGTAGTGGGAGCATATCTAGAGAATAGCCCCAAATTCAAATCTGCAAAATTTGTCAGACTTTTCTTCTTTCATCTTTCTTCTATCAACATGGAAATCTTTTAAACCAGAGAACCGCTTGAGTTGGCTTTTACACGTAGATCATTCTTTTGAGTTTGGGTCAAGGACTGGACATGTGGCTTCAAAAAGAAGCCAAGACAGAGAACTATGGATGGAAGACAAATTCCAGCTGCAGCACCGAGTGGGTTTGTGGTTTGACACCATTTTAATTTATACACACGTGATCAGCATAAATATAATTAACCTAACCACAGAATCTTAATAGAAAGGAATTTATTAATTTAAGAAAAAAGAATGGAAAAAAGTAAATAAAAAACATTAAAAATGGAAAAGTAGTGGGATTGAAGTGGAAAAAAGTAAAGAAACAAGAGGGTAGTTGCAAACTGGTGAGGTAAAAAATCCTATACCATTGCATAAAGAATAGCACCCAAAATTATTGTAAATTACTTACTATATGTTAACTATGAAGCTATGTCTTTCATGCAATGGTGTAGGATTTTCACCTCACCAGTTTGCAAGTACCCTCTTGTTGCTTTACTTTTTTCCACTTCAATCCTACTACTTTTCCATTTTTAATGTTTTTTATTTACTTGTGGATACTATGAAGGCATAAAACAGCTGAATGATTGAGGGCAAATAATAAACAGATCTATAGAAGAACAGAAGTATGAAAAGCCTTCCCCTTAACAGTAAGATGAAATGCTGTTCTCCTACAAAGACTGTGGCTGGAGGTTCCATATACCTCCATAGATGGAAAAGATGAGAGGAATGAACATTCATATTTCCGTCGCATGACTCTATCTAAAGACACCTCTTGTCACGTTTATGGCAATCCTAGCATTGATGTAGGATGGGTTGTTTACAGCAAGAACATGCAGTAGGATAGAATGTCCTTGCATCAAAAAATGCATGTAGATATGAATTAACAGTCCCAGAATCTTTCAACTCTAATTTCCAATCTACATGTTTCATCGTCAGTTTGAATGGCAAAAGTGAGGTGCGGAGGCTTTCTAGATAGTGATTGCAAGGGAATTTTTATCATAACACTATTACAGACCTCATCAAAGAGAAAAGCAATAAGTCATGAATACCATTGCACCATATAATAGTGAAACCACCAAGATGAGGGTTGAATGCCATAATGTAAACAGAGAATATTCAATATCCATTAAAAAGACAATGAGAAGGAAGAATTGTGGATAGAATGAATTCAGACAAATTTTTTGGTGAACTGACGGTTTTCATAATGGATGGTTTTTGATAAACAACAGAGATTCTATTTTGTAGCCTGTAGGATGAATTGGTATCTCAGTATAGTACACTGAGAAACAACGAGGCTCACAATGTGCATACAGACAGGTTCAGAGTTTTGGTATTGAATGAGGGAGGATTAGGTAAACCCGACATGGTAGAGAAAAAGAACAAAGATTTCTTAAACTTAATAGGGGGCTCATTATATGTCAGGGACGGCAGTAATTGAAGTCTGAAAGATTCTGCAAAGGGCTAAAGAAGAGGACCAATATCAGTAGAGATCATTTTAATTTTAATTACTGAATCAGCCACAACTGAGTGCCTCAGTGCCGAGTATTGAGCCTGAGGATTGAACTTCGACAGTTCAGTGAGAGTAGATACATGTAACTCATCAACCCAATCTTTGTCCATTTTATTGACACATGTAATTATGACAACAGTATCATGGAATATATATCTGTTTTCATCCACTTTCACAAGGAAGCATGTATTTGAAGTAGTGGGACCAACTTCTGGGAATCTGTGCCACTGTGACTGTAGATACACAAACAAAGGAATCATCACCATACCATGCCTTGACATTTTTAGAATGAATGGAATACAACTTAGACTGACTACATGGTGTTGGCTGGTAGGTCTTGGTACATTCTTAAGAAATTATAGCTTCTCCATCAATATGCATGTATAAATCAAATCCCTATGAGTAGTGTTCACCAGTACAAAACCAAAAGATGAACGTACCTATATGTACATGTACATGTATAAGGTATTACATACATTTCTCTTGAAGAAATTAAAGGTATTTGAGGCATTTACCAGGAGGAATGCTTCAGTGTCTTTATCAGCAAATAGTCTATGGAGACTGTGAACAGCAGCCTTACACCCACCATCATAGCCAGTGTTTGAGTAAAAGCATCAACTACTTCCATAGCATCATGACCTATGATTGTGAGGATAGCTTTTGAAATAATCCTGTCACATAATGATAACAACATTCCAAGTATATTCATTAATGAAGTGACATTAAAATTTCCCAGTATAACACCTGTGTACAGTGGGACAAAAAATTTTTTACAGCAATGTGAAACAGAGAGTACTGTTTAAAGACTTTTTTTGGCAGTGCTAGAAAATTAAGGAAATCTCTGTAAGTCTTGAAGAAATTCTAGCATGCAAGGTAGTGGTGCACTTATATACATATACTAAGCTTTTTTTTCATCATTAAGTCTACAATGTACAATGTACATTTTACTTTATAGCGCAACTTGGTGTGGTTGCTTTTTTCTATTTCTTGATGTACATGCTTCCATAAGGCTGTCCAGGCTATGAAATTAAAAATTAGCGTTGATATTTATAGACATGTGACATTCCAAATTTCTTTGTGTTATTTATAGTACATGTAAGTGTGTTCCCATTAAAGATTACTGCAAGGCATGGCATGTACTTGTTTATTACTTTTTTAGGATGTAGAGATAAAGAAGATGAGTGGAAATGCTACCTATGGATTTGTACTTTTTTTTAATCTTCTTAGTGCTATTAACGCTAAGAAAGCAATGGATGGTGCACAACTGGGACGAAACAGAATTAGGGTAAGATTGATATGTGCATGTACATGAAATCCCCTTATTTTGCTGCTCATGCTTGTATGTATGTGTACATGTGCTATTAATGACTATTTACATGTATATACTACCACATAGCCAGGTTTTTTTAGAATAACAAATTTTGCAAATTTCTTAAGATTTGCAAAATAAAATTCCTTGAAAATCTATTTAATAAGGTATTAGATGGTAGTAAAGTAGGCAGTTGCAAAAATTATTTCCTTGAACCTCCTGATACAGGTCATTCACAAAAATTATTACCCTCGAAAAAACTGCTATATGGTATTACGTGTACATGTATTTATTTCACATGTAAGTATTCATTTTTACTGGCACACTAAATAGCTTTTCCACTTTATGGATTTACTGTATACAATGAACATGTAGCTCTCTTATTGCTGTGCATGTACTGTTATGATTTAGCTTTTGTTCTTTTTCATTTTTATATTTTTTAGGTTGGATTTGGTAAAGGTACTCCAAGTAAGGTTTTATGGATTGATGGAATTGATGCTTCTCTTAATGAGACGCAAGTAAAGTCACACTTTTCTAAGTATGGAACTGTTGTGCGTATTGGCATTGATCGATCGACTTATACTGCAATGGTTCAGTTTGATAAAGTTGATGAAGCAAAGGATGCATTGAGCAGTGTGAAAGGAAGTTTTATTTGCAACACACATTCAAAGATTATGGTAAGATATTTTATTCTCTTTACTATGTCAATGCCTATGTACAGTTGCATTGTGTTGAAAATTTTTTAGAAGTTTATACTTGTAAGCACAAATAAAGTTCTTGGCTGCAGATAGTAAATACATTTACATGTACATTAGCTTATGTTGCATTTTCTACTTATATGGTATGATGGGTCAAAGTGAAAAATGGAGTAATAGATAAAGTCTGATTTCTCTACTTGATTGGTATAGTAGTTAGAACATCATGGTACATGTAGCTTGCAAGGATGGCCATTTATGTTTAGAAAGTTTTGGATAGATGATGCCCCACACAAATGACAATAATGCTGTGTAAAATACATGCATACATTTATGCGTTTATTATTTTATGTAAAGTACAATTTACTGTCAATTTTTATATACATGTAAGTATACACTCCTCTAGAGCACTTATTGTACTACACATAGTGTATTACCAAATACATGTACATGTTAATCTGGCATATGCTGGTACGTGCATGTATGTACATGTAAGTGTAACTGAGTCTTTGTGTGCAAGTTTCATGTTTACTCCTTCAATGCACAGAAAATTTATAATAAATTGGACTCAGAGTGTACTTCTACTTAATGACATTTTTATGGTACTTGTATTTGTTCTTATGTACTATAAGTGTAAAACTTTACTTGTACATGTATGTGTACATGCAGCACTTATAAGTTTAAGTGCATGTTCTTTTATTGTACTTAGCAGGGCTTCATTTAGAGGGGGACGGGGAGGGGGGCACTCGCCCCCTTGATTGACTTACATGTATTAACATAATTACATGTATATTCATATTAATTATCACTCCAGCAGTACATTGTATAAGTGTTGTGAGCACATATTGTGCATGCACAATAAAAAATATTAGTGACCCCCTTCATTGAGATATTTTTAATCCTGCCCCCTTGTATAATATCCTAGATGAAGGCCTGCTTAGTACTTATCCATGTACATGTCCTTTATCCCAACCTTGGTGAAAATAATGAATTAAGTCTAACTTGCACTCTTCTTCATGTGCATTGACTTTTTAATTATTTTTTGCAATTTTCGTGAATTAGATGGACATGTACATGTAGCTTAGTGAATTGCATAAAAATGAAAATGGAGTTTGAAGCTCATCAACCTTGTTGGCTTAATTATTTATCACTGCATTTCCTTACTTTTTTAGGCTGATTTCGCTAACAGAGATGCTAAAGCAGCATTTTTTACGCACCTTGAAAGCATGGATGGACAATCACAATCGTTTTATTCCAGGCCTCCTCCAACAACTGCAAAATCATTAATGAGACATCGACCTTTTGCTGTATTGCCAGGGCTACCTCGTCCTCCACTTGACTATTACAGTTATCAGTACGTTGAGCCTGATTATTATGGTTACAGATCATATGATGTTCGTGCTGCCGAAGTTGCACCTAGACACTATTCTCAATATGGAGTAGGAAGTGGAGACTATGAAGATGATTTGAGAGAATTTTCTAAGAAAAGAGAAAGGGAAAGGGAAAGGCGCATTGACAAAGAAGAAAGGAAGAGATCACAGTTTTCTTCAAGAGAGTATAGTTCCAGTGATACAGAAAATCCTCGGCATAAGAAGCAGCCTGAAGAAAAGCAGAAAAGGAAAACCAAAAAAATTAGAAAGTGTTCAACCAGTAGTAAAAGTGATGATGACTGCTCCACTTGTGTTAGAACTAAGAGTGATAGCAATACGCTGAAAGACAAGAGCTGTGGTGGTGCCCCATTATCGGTGAGTACCGAAAAGATTAAATTAGCTAAAAAGCTTGATGATGAAAGTATGAGTAAGGAAGATGAAAGTGACTTTGAATCTGCCGTTACAATCAATAAAAGTGTTCATAAATCAAAATTGGAGGGGACTTCCAAGATTGATAGTGATAGTGTTTATTTAAGTAATAAGAACGTTAGAAAAGAACCCAAAGTAATTATTACATACGATGAGGATGAGAATGATGAAGTAGCCAACTTTTCAATGCAACCGTCTCCACCTGCATGTATTGCATCGCAATTAGCAGCATCAGATTTTCAGGAGCAAATGGAAGCATTACCTACTTGTATAGCTGAAACACTTATTGAACAATCTGATGTACAGACACCTACCGGTACTAGTGATACAAGTGAGAGGGATGAGAAACAATTGGTAATGTTTTATGCATGTTGTGAAACTGAAAATTACATTGCATGTCATATTTATTGTTAAAGTTACTGTACTCATATCTTTATAGGAAGACAATGAGCCTGAGGCACTTCTTCATTCTACTGATGGTCGTCCAAAAATATCTATAGCTTGGAAAGGAAAACCACTGAAATTAGATAGGTTGTCTTTTCTCCAACCTCCAGTTAGTTCTGTGTCCACCGACGTATCTATGAAAGAAGAGAAGTTAGAAAGTGACGTTAGCAGTAATGAGGATTGTGATTATGTTAAGCCCAATTCACATACTTGTAAATATTCAGATCTGAGCAATAGGATGCAAGATGAAAATGCACCAGAATATAAACTCTTTTTAAATGATAAATCCACTAACGTGACCCATTCAAGGTCATTAATTAAAGATTCCATGAGAAGTACACAGCACAGTAAAAGTACTAGACATGATTTGGCCAGCAAAATTAAGAAGAAAGAAAGAACTTCTACATCCATCAATAAAGAGCATAAAGATGTATCTTCGGCTTCTTCCCGTGCATCAGACTCTCATGACCATCGCATGTCTCATTTTTCTCAATGTATTAGTAAGAATGGCTCTTCACATTCATCTGGTAGTCCTGCTTTGTACAGACAAAAAAGTCCTTTGCCACGTCAACCTCACAGTCCCATGTCTCGTCCACATAGTCCTAATCATCAACGGTCACGTAGTCCAGTATTCCGACGCCAAAGAAGTCCTACTATGCATTCGTCACATAGCAGCCCTCGTCATCCACATAGCCCTACTTCACGCAGTTCACGTAGTCCTACCACTCACCATAGTCCTAGTTCATATCGTTCACGTAGTCCATTGTCTCATCGTCCTCGTAGTCCAGTGTCTCACCGCTTTAGGAGTCCTATTTCAGGTCGATCTCAAAGGAGTCCTGTTTCAAGCCGATCTCGTAGAAGTCCAGTTTTAGGCCGATCTCATAGGAGTCCTGTTTCAGGCCGATCTCAAAGGAGTCCTGTTTCTGCCCGGTCTCAAAGGAGTCCTGTTTCTGCCCGGTCTCAAAGGAGTCCTGTTTCAGGCCGGTCTCAAAGGAGTCCTTTTTCCGGCAGATCTCAAAGGAGTCCTGTTTCTGTCAGATCTCATAGGAGTCCTGTTTCTGTCCGATCTCAGAAGAGTCTAACTTCTGGCCGATCTCAAAAGAGTCCTGTTTCCGGCCGGTCACAAAGGAGTCCTGTTTCAGGCCGATCTCAAAGGAGTCCTGTTTCAGGCCGATCTCAGAGGAATCTTGTTTCTGGCCGATCTCGTAGGAGTCCTGTTTCTGGTCGATCTCAAAGCAGTGGACGATCTCGTAGGAGTCCTGTTTCTGATCAGTCACAAAGGAGTCCTTTTTCTGGCCGGCCTCATAGCCCTAGGTCTTGGCATTTGCAAAGTCATGCCTCTCAAGATCCTGTTTCTCGCTATTCACGTAGTCCTTCTCCATGTCTGCACAAAAGACGGTCACAGACACCAATATTGAAAACAGAGAACTTGATTTCTCATGAGACAAGAAAGTCACGGCATATCAGAAGTGGTCAAAACAATAAACAGAACACAAGCTCAGAGCTACCAAATACTTCCATGTGTAAGTATTCTCCTCCTCATCATGCTCGTCACTCAAGGAGTCCACATAGAGTTGAGCAATTACATGACTATAGCCCTCGACGAAGTTCACGTTTTAGGGCCTCACCCCCTGTTTCAAGCAGCAGCAGATCACCGACATCATATCACAGGAAAGTGAGTAATGATCAAACAAAAAGTAAAGGGCATTATAGTAAAAGTGCTTCCCCTGTGAATCAACATACTCCACCTTCCTCACCAATTCCATCATCTAAAACGAGCGAAGTCAATTCTTCTTTATGCCCACCTGATCTTCCTTGCCCTTCTGCTTCCCAAAATACTACTTTTTACCCTGATGATGATGTTTCTGAAGTTAATATAATTACTGATGATGTACATATTGAAGTGGATGAGGTATACTAACATGTGATTTATCATTTTTAGTTTTGACCTTTGTTGCACTTCCATAGGATTTGTCACAATCTGTTTTTTTAGAACAGTTGTTGAATAAGTATCCTGTAGTTTGGCAAGGTAGCCTATCTCTAAAGAATGATGCTGCCTTACTTCAATTCCACTTTTTATCTGGTATGGTTCTATTTTTTGAGCAAGGAATACATTTACATGTAATTTTCATTTTGCAAAACTACCTTAAAGCCACTTATTTTTAAGTAGACAAATATTTGCAATTTGTTAATGGTATTAATTTAACGTGTACTAATTTTTGTGATTTCACTCATTTTTTCAATTAATAACTATTAATAAGCGTAAATTATTAATAAATGCAAGTACTAATTTTTGCGATTTTAAAGCCACTCTCAAAAAATGCAAAAAATTAGTACTTGCAAATAATAGTGGCCTTAAGGTATTTGCTAAGTGGGCTGTGATGTGTACTTTAATATAATATTTTTGCTTCAATTTGTAGGCAATGATAATTTACCGAGTATGGGCCTTCTGCATGATATGGACTGCAAGATCATAGGGACAATACCTACTCTTCACATATCTCAAAGGATGAAGCTTGAGCCATTGCATTTAAAAGGAATTGAAAAATGCATGGAAAAGCAAACTGATTATTGCCTGTTACTTGGACTTCCTTGTGGACTTGATTCATATGATATTGCTAAGCAAACCTCGTCATTACAGAAAAGCATCATTTCTTATTTATGGTTAAAACAAGCAGCTGGCATCATTAATTTGTCTACCGAAGAGGTAAACCCCTTTTACAATGATTGTGCTTTAAGTTACATGAGGGTTTTAATTCACTGGAAATAGTTTTGGTAATTTTTTCAGCCAATTTGCTAAATAAATTCCTGTGGCATGTAAGGAAAATGGCTACGAAAGATAAGATTGACAAAAATATGTAGTATTGATTGGCAAATCTGGACCAATTCCCAAAGTTTATACCAACTAAGTATAGCCACTATACGGGTAAATGAAATTCCCCTCAATTTTTACAAGATTACATCATGTACTTTTGATTTTTATGATGCATATACATGCACAAACTTTTTTATTTTTGATTTATTGTAAATCACAACATTTTCAAAGCTTATTCACCGAACAATAATAATGAATAAAAGTTTGATGGTAATTTTCAACCATTAAGGAAAACCCATCAGCAAATTGCATTTCACATCAACTCACTGCAGATTTTATAACTTTTTTTTTCTACAAATTTTTCTAGGATTCAAAAATAGCTCTTCACATTTTTCCTCCATGTCAATTTTCTCGATCTCACCTTTCTAAAGTTGCACCTGATATGCTTGCAGTGGCATTAGACGATGCTCATCTATTTATTGTCCTTGCTGTAGCGGTCAATGATAATTCATGAATATTTGTGCTTCTGTATTTTTAACTTACGTGTACTTGTCAATACATTGTATGATTATGTGTAAATTATTTGTCTTGGCTCTTAATTTTTTTAAAATAATAATTAAAATTGTAATCAGTTTCTCAGCCCATTTGGAAGTCTACCAACCTGCGTGGACATGGAAGAGTGCTTCCACTATTACTTTTGAATGGTAACCAGCTCTTCTCAATAACAATGCATGAACTCTGAATCTATCAATAAGGCATTTAATGAATTAGCAATAAGTATGTTGATGTTCAAGTAATATACTTCCATTTATATGCAAAGTCCATTCATGACCAGTCCCTTAATCAACTATAGTCACTGACAATGTTTTTAGTATGGACAGGACATAATCATTTCAAAACAAAACTGTAATTGACATTAAATGCATAAAACACTAACGTGTGGATACTAACATAGTTATAATAAATTATACATAGAGTCTATATTGATATGATTTAAATAAATGTGATTTATTCAGTTGCCTGAATGAGCAATTAATATGAAAATGTTCACATTCTTAAAAGGAAAAATGTGTAACAGTAGTTGGTTGCTGCATATGAGGCTGAAGTGATGCACTGGAATATATATAACTTTGATGTTCTGTTGTCTAATAAAAAGAAGAGACTGATGATAAAAAGAGAGACTGAATGATGCCTCACATAATAATAATACCAAAAAGCATACCCAGGAAGCAGTGAGTAGAAATTGCACTTACTATGGGTACTGGAGAAGAAAAATCAACTGCATGATCAAACGGTGATACTGTATCAGTTGGTGAAGCCCAAAGTGGAGGATTATGCTGATACGACACAATAGGTGAAACACAAGTATTAGAAGGAGTAGGGGGGAGTGTTGGTGTGGTAATGTGATCATAAGCTGGTAAAGGGTATGTAAACGCCTGCATTCCTCCATGAGGTGAGACCTGACTCATATTATCAGGAGTCATTGGAGTTTGTGGAGTCATTGGCAAAACCTATTAAAAAGTCGTTTGGCAGTACATTAGTGGTGCACATGTGTATCTTTGTTGCTCACAGCTTTTGATGCATCAGTAAAAATATCAATCACATTTACAAAATAATTTAAAGGGGGTTGCTAAATAACATTATGTGGGCAGTATGGCAAAAATTGTTTGCAATCAGCCTACTGAAATTATTGAACGGCTTCATTACTAAAATGCTATAATTACTTCTGCATGTTTACACTTGTTTCTGAATGTCATTGTAATGCTATAATTAAATGTCATAGTCATGCAAAAGAAACATAAGATATATACCTTGCCCCCTGACTGTAGCCTAGCAGCTTCAGCTTTTTGAAGAGCTTTTTTGTCCTTGCAGCGTCTGTTTTGAAACCATACTCTAATCACCCGAGGAGATAAGCCAGTCAGTTCACATAACTGTTCCTTTAAAAGAGCATCAGGCCGTGGATTTGTTTGATATACACTCCTTAATGTTTGTAACTGTTGCTCCGTTAATACTGTACGAATTCTTGGTTGTTTCTGCTCAGTGCTAGACCTTCTTTTGTCAGATGATTTTGAAGTGGCTGTAGTAGTACTAGTGGCCTGAGAGGATGTGGATGGTGATGACGTTGTTGCAATACTCTGAGTACAACCATTGTGCAGCAATGTTTCTGGTGATTCAACCAGTTCAGCTACATGGAAAAAGCAATGAATGCTCTAAGTTATTAAGCATTTTACTACTTATTAATAATTATTAGTGAACAACATAGTACAAGAAATGAACATAGCGTGACTATGGTTTTGGTATTTGGTACCAACTGCCATCATCAAAAACAAGGATCAACTTTACCTGTATCTAGCTCTAATTACAAACAGTTTTCTTTACTTCAGAAAAAACAAACATGCATTAAAGCACAATTAAAACCTGCCTTAAGATACTATTTAAAAACAATCAATCAACAACTATGCTATGACTTTAGGCCATCTTCATAGACAAAATTTATACAAACTATGAGAAGACTAATTGTCACATTTACCTTCCATTGTTGGCTCAATGCTGTCAATTGGAAGTGATTCAAAATCAGCTTTACAATATAGTTTGCCACCAGCCATTCCGAACTGTTCCCCTGTACTAAGCTTTTTATCACAAAGAGTACAGCAAAAGCAGTCAACATGAAAGATCTGAGCAAAGAGTTAATATGATATCATTACACATAGATTTATTAACAAACCTCTTTCTTGGCTCTCATAACAAGAGTGTCTGCATTGATGGGCTCAGAACATCTTTTGCATTGAGTACCAAATAGCCTTTGAAGGTAACATTAAAGGAAAGGGAGGAGAGTACATTACTGTCCAGTATTCATAAGATCAATGAGATGCATTAGCCTAAAGCAAAACTGTGGGCCAGGCATTAGAGAAATAAGGAGGGGAAAGGCAACCTGAGGAATTTATTACCTCACATGGGAGGTAATATATTCCAACCAGAAGGACCACAAAACTCATCAATCATCATTACAACTATGACTCTTTTCATCTGTTTGTCAAGAGAATTCTAGTTATCACACAATCAAACAAGGTGTCCTACAGCTTATGATGTCTATACCATTCCATGCAAGTGCAAACTCACCTGATGTAATCAGTTCGACAGTAAGGTCTACCATCTTTAATGAAACAAGTTTCACAGTTTTCATCCATAAAATCATGGCACTCACAGCAGATCAAACATGATACATGCCAGTCCAAATTAGGAGAAACGTGCAATGAGAATTCATCTTCTATTGAAAGTTTACAGCCATGGCATATCCTCTGCGTGGTAAAGCTATCCATCACTGCATCTACTAAAAATGATAACAGAAATTTGTCAACACTCTCTCGTTTTCCTTGACAGTGCATCATGGTATCAGTGCCACTGCATGCGATTACTATCTAGAAAAATCACCAAGTGCTCAGTTGCGAAGGCTTATCCCAACCCCAGTTCAAGTATATCTATACCGTCATTGCTATAACGATCTCATCCACTCACCAGCATTGTTGCAGTTGTAGTTTATATTACTGTTTTCACATTCCATCATCAGTAAGCGATAAGAGAGCTAAGTTACAAATGCCTCCCCGACAGCTAACAAAACTTCCTCAGGAGCGTTTATTTATAATTGGTTAAAGGGATGTAGGCGTGGGTAACAAAATAATTTTAAACATAGATAATTTATTTTCATTTACTCCAATTAAGTGATTATACATTGTATATAAGTACTGACAGTATTTGTACATAATAAGGCTATCATGCAGCAAAAAAATCAAGAGCAGACTTCCAGTGGTCTTTTGGAAACCGGTTTTTAAACAGCAAGAAGTTAATACTCGGCTCTTCAGAGTCTACAGTATGTCGAATGATAAAGAATTTTAATATTGAGCATCACAATAATATACCTTTAGTTGATGGTGAAGTTACAAGGTCACATTCAGACAATTCATTCTATAGCAGCTAAAATCAATACATGTATATAAACACACTTACCTGAAGAAAGACACACAAAAGCTGAGAATTTACATCTAATTCTAGAACTTCTTTGTTATCATGCACATTATAACAAGCTGATATCAATGTTGGATAAAGAACCCTAGCTAATCTACATGAACAACAAGCACTTATCATTAATGTTAAAAATGATAAGACAACTAACTTTGGATCACTAAAATATTCAAATGGCAGACCACAAAGCAACTGAAGCAATGTGGGACTTCTCCCAGCAAGCAAGAACATCTAAAGAATACAATGCAACCAAAATTAGGGTCAAACATCAAAGGGAAGAGCTTGTGTTTATTTTGCTAGTTATTCCCTTAACCTGATTCTCCTGATGCAATACACTAAAATAACCAACTGTCAAAATCAGCTCCTGCAGTAGTTGTTCATTTCTATAATGTGTACAGTACCTATACAATGAAATACATGTAGCAACCACATAACTATAAGAAATAGTTTTGACAACATAGCATACTCCTCCTTCCATAAAAGGGGCTTACTTTAATGCACACAAGGTGGGGTTTCAACACAGTAAACTATTACAGAAGGAGTGTCAAAGCTAAGGTCAAAGTTAACAAAAGGAATAATTACATTAAACAGATGTCTTTCCACACAGGCAATAAACAATGTCCTGGCAAATACATGTACATCATCGTACACAACCTCAAAAATATGAGCAGATGTACTCCCTACAAACACATATTCTTGTACATGTACTAGAAACTGATGCCATTAAACCAACAGATCAATCTCATTGAGGAAATAATTGAAATTACAACTCAAACGTATAGTAGTACTATCATTTTTTAGTCATTCCATCACTATCAACCCACAACATACAATGATGAGTAATGTACAGTGAGTTGGAACAAATGTTGAATCCTATTATGCATATGTTTCATAAAATTATAAAAAAAGAAATTTATGAACTGTTACAAACACATGCTTTACAAAGACTTAGTGGTATACTATATTCAATTAAAGTGTCCAGTGTCATATTACACAGACTCTAGGCTCCAAAGAAGCTACAGAGTAACAGGTACCAAAAGAAAATTATTTGAGGTTTTATATTGCTCTCATAACACTATAAAAGCTAGGTTACAACCGTGAGATCCACGACCCATATGTAATGCAAACCACCTTTCATGTTTCATACATGAAGGAATAAAGAAAGGAGGGTGTACATCAATAAAATCACTTTGTTCATCAATTCAAACACATGTTTACACTTTGGTTAAGACCAGCACCTGAACCATCACACTGCTAATGGTCAGACAACAGACAACAGCTGGTTCAATCATGATTCTTGGCAATTATTTCAAACCCCACACATCCACCAACTTAAATTTTAGAAGCTTATTTAACTATTATCAACACAAATCTAATGGCAATCAATAAGAAGGGAATTTACCTACCAGAGCAAGTAACTTAAAATATGACGTAATTCAAGAGATATCCCTTCAGCACTAAGACAATTCTAATAAATAAAACATCAATAAATAAAGACATAATCAGAAACATCAAACTTACTTGTACCACATTCAGAGCCAATATAGCTGAGTTGTTAATTGCTTTGATAGCAGCAGTAGTAATAGAAAGTATATACGATGGAAGAAAAGGGGGAACAGAGGAATGACGAGGTGGTCCATCATGAAGTAATAAAGCATATACAAGAGAAATAATACCTAGAAAATATTTTATTGAAGTCCAGTGGACTACAGTGGATCATACATTACATATACATGTAAAAAAATTGATTGGAAACAGTCTAGTAGCAATCATTTGACGTTACACCAATGAGTGAGGTGACATAGCCTTTTACCATTTCTGAGTAGTTTGAAAAGGTTAATCAGGTTTTTTCAAGAATACATGTACATTGTTTTTGGGTTAATTAAGCTTGTATTCAACTTACAGTAAAGTTAAAAAAGACAAAATATGGATGACACCATTTGACATGGCCATTCCCAATCTAGGTCCTTTGTGTACATGTACATGTACATGCACCAAAATCATAAAATATGCAGTCATGCAATTACATGTAAGTATACATGCATGCTCAAACTTCATATCACAGGAAAATAATAGCACATACACATGTCATAAGACATGACACTAACACTTCCTACACGTAGCTTCATTCTTACTATACAAATTGTACATGGAGTGCAAGAACTACACATTATGTCAATAACACATGTAAAAGCATTACAAGAATCAAAACAAAGACTACATGTTAGTGTGGAAGAACATGCATAGGGTACATGTATACATGTGTAAATAATTCAAAGGTACATGTACACATATAAAGCTTCCTACTGACTGGCAGTATACATGTACATGTCTTGTACATCATGTACATTGTGTACATGTGTATCTGCAATGTGCCATGTGCAAAATTAAAAAAATAAACTACATGTACTTGTATGCATGCATGTAAATGTACATGTACATGTATTTACATGCATATGTATATCACCTGCTAAATCAGTTTGACGAAGTGTACACACAAGTTGAGTAAAGTCATCATATTTGCCACTAAAGACATCTTTCACACTAAAAAAGTAATAAACACACCATAACTTATTGTGCCAGAACTCAAAAACACTAAAATAATAATGAAAGAAATGAGAGAGGAAAGCAAGAGATCAAACAGAAAACAGACTGAATCCCCCTTCTACTGAAGCCATATCAAAACTTTGATGTCTTTCTTTGATATTTGAGTTTCTAGTAATTGATCAAAGTATCTGCATCAACAATTCTTAAAATTGACTTTGCCACAAGATTCAATGATCAATACAAGTACCTGCCCATACACACAGTCACATTACTTACTCAAAGTGCAGGCATGCCGTGCAAGCAGTGATTGTATTTAAACCAGATAACACCAATTGTGACACAACAGGGTCATCAAATGGCCCAGTTATTGCTCTAAAGCATTCTGCAAGCCGGTCAATCAATCCAGTACAGACAATGTATCTAAAAATAACGCAGAACTAATATAAAATAATGAGTTTGTGCTTGATCCATTTTACTAATGACAAGCAATTAAAAATAAGAGTTACTAATGAATTGGCACATTCCAAGGACCGACCAAACCCAAGTTACTTTAAAAGAGAGTCACAACATAGCCAACTGGCACAATAACAAAAAAGTGGAGTGTCCCTGGCACTGTTGAGTCTCATGCATAGGATGCAAACATCAGAACTACTACATCACAGCCACAAAACATGTCACAAACAAACTATAGATAATTAAAGTAAGTGTATCGTCTTTGGCTAAGTACTGTATCTAACAAACAGACTTGTGACACACCTAACGTGACATAACGAATGACATGAAGGTGACAATTTACAGGTCATGTGTCATAGACAAAATGCACTGTTCACACTAAACACAAACCATTAGACTATGGTACCAAGTAAATTTACTTACGCAACACAATCTCGCATAATCTTGTGATCAATATTACCCCGAATGGAACAACTGATGACAACAGCAATCAAGCCAAAAGCAGTACCACAAATGCTGGTCCAAGTAACATGTCGAGACTTTTCCTTTCCTTTGTTCAGTAATGCAACCATTATGTCTGACTTTTGTTGAGAACTATCAAAATAATGCGATATTAAATCAACCAACAAAGTGAATTTTTTCGAAAGAATGAAATACTGTGAGTTCGAAATGTGCTCAATGCAAGTTAACTCCATTGAATTAAGAGCCAGTAAAAGAGGCCTAAAACGTAATGAAATTACAATCTAAAACAAAAAACATACTTTAATGGTAATGATGAAGCAGTTGAAGGATCAGTATAGAAGAGAAGAAGTCTAGACAGTGAGGCTAAACCACCCAAATGACAGAACAACAGTTGATCATCTTTATTCTATAGAGCCAAAGCACATTAACGAAATATCATTCAAATACCTAACTCTATTCCCAATAATTCTATTAAGATCTCCTAATAGTCTTTCTAACTGTGATACCACTTGGACATCCCACACTTTTTGTCGACTAAATGCATCTAAAACTTGATTCATTTCTTTGATTGATTTAGTGAACCTTAAAAATATAACAAAATAAATATTTAAAACATCAGAATAATACGCTGTAATATATGTACTTTGACTGGTGTCTTGAAATAACTCCACTGGCAAGTGAACTATAGGTAAAACTATCTAAATCTTTCAATCCAGTAGATAATCTCTGGCGTATCTTTCTGGCTCTTTTCTTGCCAGTTTTTAATCTTTCCTGTACTTCAGTGCTTATATTTTGAGCTTGGAATTCTTCAGGTGCAAGTACTATTACTGATAATACATCGTCAGTCTAGACAAAAATGACATAATTCATTAAATTCAGACTGCATACATGTAAGGTTACAAACTTGATCTGAAAGTCCTTTCAACTGCAGTGATTCCTTATGCCTTTTCCCCCGCAAGTGACTCATTAAATACACTTCAGATATTATCTTTGTGTACAATAAAACAACAGACATGTACATGTACCTGTTTACCTTTACATTGCAGACACTACACCACTTCTTTCGTTGATATGCTTCAACCCTAGGAGCATAATCACTCGATGCATTACGATACAATGATATAGCCATTGCTCTTTCTTTTTTTTGTTCAAGCTGCTGGTCATAAAGTTTAGAAGATTTGTCTTGCTACAGAACATGTACATGTACATATAAAGAGATCTAAAAACAAAGTTGAATTACTTTAAGTTGTATTCTTCTACCCATTTCTTCAGATAAAAATCGTTGGGCTGCATGATGTGCTTCAAGACGTCGCTCTCTCTCTCTAAAAGAGCAACAATAATAATAATAATTAATTACACATATGTACATGTACATAATTATAATTATGTGTATATGGGCATAAATCTTTACTTAGCTATTTCTTCGCGTTGCTTTTCTTTTTCTACTTTCATCTGCTCTATTTTTGCTTCCTATACGTGTAAGCTATGAGTTGTGATAAACACATGCACAATCTAGTACTTGCTCTCGACGTCGCTGATTCAATTCCTTTAACTTTGCCTGTCTTTCAGCTTCCTTAATGCGTCTTCGTTCCTATACAAAATAATTAATCAGTGTACATATAATTAGCTGCATTAAAAGAATTTTAATGAAACTGTGATATACATACATGAGCTGCTTCTTCTTTTGCAATATTCTCTTCTTTTTTCTTTAATCTTTCCTCCTAATGATGCGATTATTCATTGTTCAATACATGTACATCATTAAACAAGCAAAAGCTGCACATACATGTACAATACATGTACATGTATGTACAAAAAATGCTTAAATGATGTTACTAACACAAAACCATATTGACAACAATTAACTGTACCTCAATATCTTGCAACCGAGCTTCAATGACCTACATGTATACATACACATTACAGAAGTACGTATAAAGAATGGCTACAAAATGTACATGTACATGCAAATTAATAAGAACTACATGTACATGTATATATCATTATCAATATTATCAATCATCATTAATTCTATTACTATCAATTACACATACACCAACTTATTTGTATTACAGTGTACCTGGTGCTTCTCAAATACTTCCATCTTTTTATTCTGAGCTTCTAAGGAATTTATGAAAGCAATTTCATTAACCTACATTAATGATCATAAATAGTAATTGCATTCCTTGTTTGATGCATTGTTTGTATAAAGCTTTCTGTGAAAACAATTGGGTGGTGCCTATCTGGGAGTTATATGCCTCCAGCATCTAAAGTTAGACCTATAATAACATTGCATACCTTTCTCACAATAAGCCATTTCATTACAAGCAAAGCTGCCAAGGAACAATATAATTACCTCATAAAAAATGAAGCTGCAGACATAAAAATTGAAATACACATGTACATGTACATGTAAATGTAAAATGTATATTACAAGCATGCAAAAGGCAGTGTTAAATGTTTTGTATAAAAAATACATGTACATGTAACCTATTCACTGTAGCAACTAGACTTTACTTTTTGTTTATTTACAATAGCCTAACAATAAATTGACACTGATTTTGCCATGGAGATAAAAATACACATGTACATGTGTACATGTACGTATATGTGTGTACATACAGTGTACATGCCTATATAATCAAAGGTCAAATCACACACACTTCATACTAAAAATTGATATTATGTCAACTACATGTGCACAATCTCATCTGGCTAAAGCATAAAGTGCAAGTACACTGCATGTACAAATTATATGTAATGAAACTTACAAAAATAGAGCAATAAACTAACTAATTACAGCATTGCGTTTAACTCTTGTAGCAAAAAATAAAACAAACAATTACTCTAAGATTCTTTTGTCTACAATACATGCATGCAAGCAGTCACGCAAGAAAGGCTAAAGTGGTTTCACAGTCATAAAAATACAATACCAAACAATAAAATATGCATGCACATGTACAGATGTACATATAAATTATTCAAGACATGTACATGTACATGCATTATAATTACGTATATGGCACAGTAAAGAGGCATGAGGTGTGGAGTCGAGACAGTAATTAATACAGCACAAGGCGTGAAGCACCTTGCATTGTATTGGCTGTCAAGACTACACTCCAAGTGTTATTATTGCCCATACAGCACACTTTACTGTGCTACAATTTATTGTACATGTGTGTGAGCACATCAAGGGCGTCCACTAAATACACACTCCTAGAGAAGTTTTCTGGAGTCTCTCATGCCCTGTCACAGTTTAGACAAAGCTAATACAGACAATTACAAGTCCACCAAATGTAAAATACATGACAATGAAACTTAATATGTACATTGTACATGTACATGTACATGTACATGCAATTTACAAACATGTAAATGTCGCCCTAGTTAAGTTTTGAATTTTTAAAATCAGACAATTGCAATGAGGAGTTAGAAGTGTGTAGTTGAAACAGTCAAAATAGAGCAAGTGTACAATTATTGTATACAATGTGTATGAACTGCATGGTAAAATACATGTACATGTATATGTACATGCCAAATTCAAACTTTAACATAAACAATTAATGTATACATGTACATGAATGCAAAGCAAATTGTGCATGGTATTTCAAAAGTATAGTAAATTATATAATAAATTCACAAACAAAACTGACTTTGGCATCTTCTTCTTGAGCTTTACGAATAATTTCTTGAAGACGCACTTCTCTTCGTTTCTCTGCTTCAACCATTCGGCCTTCAATAGCTTCTCTGTGCTCAACAGTCCTAGAGAATTGGTGCTCACGAACAATCCTTATCTATAAAAAGGAATAGCAAATTGCATGTACATGTACATGTAAATTTCACTATTTTAAGCATTTACATGCATATACACACATGCATATACACACATGCATGTACTGTACATTTATAGCAATTCCACTACATTTGTAAATACAGGTACATAAAAAAATTAAAATGAAAAGTGGTAGGATTGTTTAAGGAAACAAAAAGGTACTTGCAAACTGGTGTGGTTAAAATCCTGCACCATTGCATACTACTTAACCATTGTTAGCTTTAGATGTAGCCAATTTTTTTAGCTTCTCTAATTCATGCAAACAATTAAAACCAGCCCTTCTGGCATCTTTTACATGTGTATAACTAGACCCTGTTGAAAATTCTTATCATGCACATGTCCTTTTTGTACGGTTTCAGTGCAAATGCATGCATATTTTAGTAGTAAAACATATATGTTGTATTTGTAAATACTGACATGATCTATATGCATGTAAGTATGCAAATACATGTATTTAGACCTATAGTTCTATCAAATTGCTCAAAATAGGGTCTTCCATACGCATTATTATGACTAAGTCTAGAGAAGGAGTCTGAAGATAAGTCAGTTTTTTTAACTAAAGAAGCACAATACAGCACACTTTAAAATAACCAAATGCAAGCATTGAGTCCTACCAAGGCTGACTCAGCCCCACCCAAGCTATAAAATTGCAGACCAAAAAGGATGATCCCACCCTCCTCCATTGTGAGAGTCAGGTCCACCTGACTAGGTTATTACACCACCTGACTAGGTTATTACACCACCTGTAAGTGCATGTAGACTATATTGATTGCAAGAAGACTCATGTATGTACATGTACATTGTATACAATGTATACTAGAAGAATGTAGAACATTAAAGGGGCGAGCCTAAGCAAGCTATAGATTGTGCTACATGATCTACATGTATGAGGAAGCAAAGCAATTGCACATGCAAGTCTAGCAGTCAAAATTTTCTCTATCACCTCCTCACTTAAGAATCTCGGCAGCGATTGCAGCAATTAAAGTTATCTTGCTTACAGTTAGAAGCAATCACTGATTTGAAGATTGTACATCTACTTTGTTAACCTAGGCTTGCTGCTAGAAAAGAAACATCACTGACATAGAACAGATCTCATGATGCATGCAGCTAGCTACAGTACATGCAGGTAGCTACAGTACATGCAGGTAGCTACAGTACATGCAGCTTTCTCACTTGCATTCAACTTATCAGAGTCCTTTATATCAAGAAAAAAGATTCTATATCTGCTTTTCTAACATTTCTTCTTGCTAGAGAAGTCTTTGAACAGCGGTTTAGTCTTATTTTGCTAGCCATTTGCTGCAAATGAGCTCAGACTCGCTGATAGCCGCCATTTTATTCATTGTGACCACACCCACTTTCAATGAAGATTAGGCTATTTAACTATAATAATAGTTAGATGGTCTGCCTGTACAAACAAACAAACAAACGCTTTCTCGCCTTAGTGAGGCGAGCTCAGGCTCACCCCAACAAGACATGTACCATATTTTAGCTTTTAAAGTATGTACATGTACTATTATAAGCTAGTGCCTGAATGTGGAAAATATGAATGAACTAAATACACAGTATTACACATGTAACTAGTTACTTATACTCATACACAAAGTACAACATGTACATACGTGTATATACCCTAGAAAAATTTACATGTACAATGTATGTATCACATCCATGGGTTAAATTGTGTGAGCTTGCAATTTCAGCTAATTGGAAACCTGCTTAATTTTTGTGATTCCACACTATCAAACTTCTAGCTAACACAGTACAGTACAATGTACATGTATGTACATGCACATGTACAGTACACATAAGCTGTACACAGGTACATGTACATGTACATGTAAAAAATTACATGTACTTACATGTATACCTTGTCTGAGATAACTCGTGATCTCTGCACCCTCTCCTCATTCAATTTATCCCTAATTTGCTGGGCTTTGTGTTGTTTTTCTTCAGATATTTTAATAGACTCAGCTAACGAACGCTTACGTAATGGAGATGATAACTTTTGATGTAACTGAACAGCTCTATACAAAAACGTAATACACATGTATAAAAAATACTGTAATGTATATAAAAACCAAAATTTTCAATGAGTATAGAACATGCAACTACTGATGCTTATACATACCTCCATACTTTACAGTGTACATGTATGCACAACAGTACATGCATGTACATTTACATGTACATGTATGCATGCAGTAAGCATGCAAATTCAATCAAGATTTGACACTTTCTCTGTATTGTAACAATTGCACGCTGTCAGTTTGCAGCCACACTCAAACACCCTCACATCTTAATTAGACTATGGAGAATGCAATCAGCAATCAAAACTATCTAAGCAAGTTAATGCAGTGGAACCTGCATATGCCAAACAAAATATACGTGTAGTTTTGAAATCATGCATGTAAAATAAATATTGTTTTGCTTTAATTGTTTTGGCGAGGCCAATGCACCAACAATGTCTCGTTTTATGTGTACATGTACATGTAGATACATACATGTACTATAAATGTCTCACACTCATGTAATAATTCTTTATGTACATGCATGTATAATTAATGTAAATTTTTAACATACATCATACATGTACATGTAGTATAGGTATTGTACATAAAGGCGATAATTTCATAAATTCAAAAAAGAAAATAGAAGACAAAGATGAGTCACCGCATTACAGAAAACATGCATACATGTACATATACCTTCCTGGTGAACGAGAATCTCGATGATGAGGAGAAGGTGGTGATTCACTTCTATCAGCCCAAGATACAGTCTTATGATGATTTACAGTATATATGTATTCATCTATATCATCCAGAGAAGGGGGAGGAGGAGTCCCTTGACACTCATTCAACTGTGAATTATATAAAGGAGGTTCATCTATGAGTTCAATATTGGCATCAGTCAATCTAGTTTTATCTAGTTCAATGCACTGGGTTTTAGGGGACAATGATAAATCAATTCCAGGACTACTAGAACTACGTCTTTGATGTTGCACTGACTGTTCAATAAAGTCCACATAAGAAGTTTGCTTAGCTTTACTAGGTGAGCATCGAACTTCCCATGTTACACTAGGAGGTCTACAGTATAAAACAATTAGGCAGGTAACAAATCAACTACTATAGTGGAAATAATGAAAAAGGAAAGCCTCACCATCCTTACAATTACACATGTACATGCACTTTCCCTCATTTGATCATGTACACGTACATGGCCACATGTAATTTGCAAAATAAAATCACATGCCAAAATGTACATGTATAAACCTTTCTTGTCTTTCAAATGCTCTTTGGACTTCAAATCGCTTGATCAGTGCTTCAAAATCTTTCTTACAAACCTCCAAAGTCATGACTACTTCCTAATACAAATAAAAATACAAAATATACATGTACCATATAGCAAGAAAAAATGGCAAAGTTTTGCTTTAGCAAATGGTGGATTAATGATAAGATTACCAAAACAAAATTCACCATTTTGCTTTATTCTGAGCATGCTAAATGACCATGTGGCAGTAAATTCACCAATATAAAAACCACCAATACATTGAAAACATATACCATATAGCGGGTAAATTTCATCTGGGAAAATGTTCATTTTAAGCAGGATTAGAAATTTTCGTTCGTTTCATTATAGTTCTGAGCAGCCATTTTGTACATGTGGCATTGAGGAAGCTCCTTTTTCGTTTAGAAAATATTCATTCCACTAGGAACGAGAACGAAAAGAACAAAATTAAACTCTGACCAAATATGCCCGCTATACGGTTATCAACAATATTAAGTGTCACCAAATATACTGTACATGTACCCACTATACAATAGCCAATGTCATCCAATCATAGTAATCATGAAAGGCTTATTCATTATTGTACCTAGATGTGCCCATGCAAATCTACAATGTATGTACACAATAATACTGCTATGAGGTAATAGCAATAATAATTGATAATAAATAAAGTGACACCCTTTCAGTCACATACTTCACACTCCACAATACTTTCATCAGTTTCACAGGTGCAGTATATTTCATCCACGGCACGATGAAGATTATCAAATAAGTATGACCAATAACGTGCACGCATATCACTGTGCCTCCCAGCAGTAAGTTTACAACGACGTTCCTTTACGGCATACTTTTCTGCTGCAACAACACACACAACCTCATTGAGGGACATACTGGTGTTTTCACTGTCTGAGGTAACGAGACACTCGTTGTCATCTTTCACGTGTTCCAACTCATCTTGGCAACTCTCAACCATTGTGCACCTCCTCTGAGGAAAATAAAGTATAGTTAAGGTCGAGGTTAAGGTACACTATTGTATTTGTAACAGAAAAAGCACCTGCCACCTGAGGCCTGTCATTGACATGTCAAGTTTTGATTTGACACACCCATTACCACACCTACAGTGGACAGGACTGAGGAGTGAGGACTCACAGGAGGATAGAAGCACGTGTGAATTGATGAAACTGAACTGACAATGGCTCATCATCTTAGAGCATCTTGTTTCCTTGCTAATCGTTCGAGCACTCTTAAAACGTTCTCTAGATGTTATGGCTATGTTCATGTGGTTCATAAAACCATCCCTCATTTATTGGGTCCTGGGAATGTGTGGAGAAAATGCTACGTTGTTCATCCATGTAGTGTTAAGAAAGATTCTCTCCTTCACGCTCAATGGCTAACAGGCACTAAATTGGTGAACGGGTTGCCTAAAGAAATCAATTCGATCTCCTTACCAAATGATTTTATTGTCACTGAGTTCAAGGAGCGTCTTATTGATTATATGAAAATTTCGCCAGATACAACACCATTGTACTCTAATAATAATAATCTTAACTTTGGATTGTATCAAGCATGTCTGTCGTGTTTGTGGTCACTGGGCAATTTTCAACACATTCAACACTCTTATTGGAGCCCAATTACAAAGGTCACTAGTTATTGGCGTAGGAATGGTCTAAATTTTGTGACCTTTACCAAACCTTCAATTTTATATACTTCATCAGCGTTGGATTTGTGGCCTACACCGTCTACCACTACATTGGTAGACCCAGTGAAATATCTTAATCCTTCTCATATTCAGTTATTTGAACAGAGTTTTGACGATATCAATGTATTCGGTGGCAATAAGAGCTTGAGTCTCTATCCAATGGCTCATACCCTCATTGTTGACAACGATTATAAGAAACACACTTTAGAGCAAACTATATCTCATGCCCTGTTACAATTGTTTGCACAGTCTTCTGCTCAGACTGTTCAGAATGGGTATCCTCTTGATAGGAGGCTGGACTATCCTTTAGCAACACAAGCAATCTTGACTGACGGATTACAGTACACCTTTGCATGCTACCAGTTAAACACATTGAACATGACAGAAACGTCACAACAGGAAGTTTTTAATTATATGTGGTGCGGACCTACATATAAAATTTGGAACAAGGAAAAAACTGATCTTAATAATAAGTGTGTTACACTACTACTAAAGTTTCTATTAAATGAACCGTTACGGGAAACCCCTGCACTTGTTTGTCCTGTCAATGATGTGAAGGATACAACATAATTTTTGTTTCATCAGTTTGTATGAAAATAGCGTTTTGGTTTTTGTTAAAAATTGTGTTATAGTAGTAATAGATTGTTGTAATTATTATCTGGGACCGAGTAGTATCAGAAGGAAAAGTGTTATACCTACAGGCAAGAGTAGATACCGGTAATCTCATAGTGCAGCAAAGTCCTTATTTACTGTCTACTCATGATGATTGTACATGTAGGTGGGAAAGGTCTAGCTGTCTTGCAAGACCATCAGTACTGTTGTTCGTCCTACATGTACATGTAGTTTTTGTATTATTTAAATTTAAAACAACATAATTAATTTTAATGAAATTTGAAATAAATAAAAATAAGAAAAATACCCGCTACAAAGTACATTATAGATAATACATGTAACAGCAATGATGACATTTCAATTTCTCTGGTTATCATGAGGCAACAGATTAACTTTTGACCTAAAATAGATTTTTTTAAAGGGATAAATTATTAATAAAACAGTACCTATTCATAGTTAAGTGACTCCTAACTAAGTGACCAGCAGCTAGAGCAGATATTAAAGACAGTTCCCCTGCCAAGACAGTACCACAAACCACTCGTGCCAAAAGAGATGAATTATCTCCAGGTTTACCTTCAACTGACGAGCCATTTAATCCCAACATCTGTAAAAAAAATAACACTGATACAGAAGTGTTAAAATGAAAATCTTACTTTAAGACATGACGACTGAGGTGGCAAGAAAGTGCCACCACCAACTGTACCAACTTCAAGAGAAGGCATAGTGCAGCTGATGTAGAGATCACTGTTGGAAGGACCGGTCTTTTCTATTAGTGTGATGCAGTTTGAACTACCCACCACCTGTGCAACATCCTATTGGATACAGGGCACTATAAGCTAATTGGTTATACATGTCTCCTTACTTGACCAGTAGCAATAAAGACAGCAGATACTATATTAGCTGCATGAGCATTAAATCCACCAATTGATCCTGCCATAGCTGATCCAACTAAGTTTTTACTGACATTAAGGTCAATTAGAGAATCGACAGATGTTTTCAAAACCTATACAGAGAGCACATGTTATGTCACAATTAATGTCAATTATAGTCATAACTTTACTTTCTCAACAACATCTGCTGGTATTGTTGCATCACATACAACAGATTTTCCTCTGCCTTCTATCCAATTCACTGCAGAAGGTTTCTTATCTGTACAATAATTTCCACTCAGACTCAATATATCCATATCCGAAAATTGTTCATGGAGGTACTCTAAAGCTTTCTCCACTCCCTGAAAAAGGTAAGGAGAGGATACAATTAAACTAAACAATCAAATCACTCACTTTTGACAGCATGTTCATACCCATTGCATCTCCAGTAGTTGCTCTAAATCTAATATACACTAACCTCCCAGCTACAGCAGTATGTACAGATTGCAACTTTGCATAACGACTAGTCATATTAAAGACGGAGCAGAGATCTTGAAATTTATCAGACGTATCGAGCCAGTACTTAAGAGCACTACATGTACATGTAGTATGCAACAATTAACTTTAACAATATGGAGAAGCAAACTCACATTGCTCTGGAAGCAGTAGGCATCCTAACCACAGGTGCTCTTGTCATACCACCATCCAATACATTGCTGTGAACACCCGAACCCTGCACATATCAAGAGTAATTGTAAAAGCATTCGATACATTCACATGTACATGTACATTGTACATGTAACTCACCATCATCAAAGCTCTGCAGCCTCTATTTGTGCTGGCAATAAGGCAACCTTCAGTTGTAGACATCGGCACATAATACTCTTCATTGTCAAGAAGCAGTGGCCCAGCTACACCAACTGGCATTGGCAGATAACCTATTACATTTTCACAGCAGGCTCCAACTACATGTTTATAATCATATCCAGAATAAGGTAAACTATAAAAACATAATACCATAATTTAACATCATTATATACATGTACATGTAGGTACTTTTCCAGTGACTCTTTATCAGGTAGACAAGATGATACTAATTTTCTGCGAATCAATACACTCCTTTCCATATCTCCCATTACTGCTTCTAATTTATAGGCAGGAATATGTTTTGAGACAACAAGAGACATCACTTCATCATCAGTAAGTTGGGAAGGACCACCCTACATTACAATACTCAAATAATTACTATACATGTACATGTGGCAAATGAACCTTTGATTTGAATATTTCTAAACACTCAGCAAGAGACCTAGGAGTGTTATGAACAGGTATGTTGTTTTCAGAAGATATTTCTGCATTATTAGAGTCTTCTGCTTCAGGTGAATTGCTAATAAAAAAATTGCTATGACTTTCTTCAGTTTGAACTGACACAGATACAGCACTGCTAACAGAACAGCTATCATTTCCTTTATCTGCACATTCTTCAATACCAGAGTCATCACACATGCCACCATGACTTTCCTTCGAATTACAGTTTATAGTGATACTTCTCTTACGAAAATATGCTGTTGTTATATCTCCATCAACAGAAGGAATACCAACAGTTGAAGAAGTCATTTGTTTTGAGCCAAATTGGGATGAAGATATTGTGTTCGTTTTATCGTAAAAGGTATACTTGAGAAGCAAAACAATACCTAACCCTACAGTAACTAATTGATCAGCTGAAAGATGAAATGCTTTCCACCATAAATAATCATGCAATGGAACACGCTCTGTCTCCTGGTAACTTCCTTCCGATTCCACAAGAGCAGGTGCCGTTGACAAATAAAATGACATACCAGTTACTTGTGACAGAAATCGACTGTGAATGTGGACAACTACCAGTCCTAGTGCCATAATGATTTTGACACGCTGAACAACAGGGTTTGGTTTCTTTCTGTTTTCCCCTTCCTGCATGGCTCTAGCTAATTTATCAATATGCCACGTCTTATTAGCAGGGTTATGTGGGCACACCTACATGTATATGTACATGCAAATGATAATAACTCAACATGTAGAAAGTTAATTTAACTGACTTCCAAAATGAGAGCCAATGCAGCAGGGAAAAAGGTCATGAAAACAAGATAATTGGCTATGAGTGACATGCAGCCAAAGTAACAAACTGTCTCCAACTGACGAACACCTACATGTACAAATAACCATATAAACATGATTTTACCAAAAGCATAATAGTCATCAAGGCTATACTATACCTGAAATTGTTCCAATGCTAATAATTAAAACTTCAACTAAAGTATCAAGTGAAAAACTAGGACCCAGAACAGCCATTCCATTGGCTATGTTGTTTCTTACTTCATCCTAATATAGAAATACAATTACATGGTACATTGCACTTTTACTATTAAAATTACTCTGTTGGAAGAAACTGAAGCAAATTCAGCTAATGCAGTAGCTTTAGATAAATCAATTAACAATAAGAAGAATGGAAGAGCTTCACTAAAAAAATTAAGAACATAGTTTATAGACATGTAGCTATGAACTAATTTACCTCAATCCAGCTGCTGAAGAATCAACAAAATATACAATGCCACTACCAAACACAAAGCTAGCAAATATGGTGAATATAGCAGCAATGCCTATTAACAAATAAAATAGGTATGATAAAATAATACAATGAACAACTATGATATAATGTATTATCATACATGTACAATATAGATCAAATTTTAAAAGCCATCACTTTCTAAACAAATTGTCTTTATTTTTACTGATTTATTTTCTAAACGTACATAAAGGTCAAAATGGTAAGTTTTGGTTTTACCAACATTCACATTACACCAAAACACAAAAAATTAGTACATACTATTAACAATAACTTCAATATGACTGGTGTCTGAACATAAATGCAATGCCATACGCAAAATTAAATACAGTAAATACACATACCCAATAAGTATTTTGATCCAACTTTACGAAGATTACTAAATTGATTATAGAGATAAAGCACAGCCAAACTGTTGACAATAATCATCAAAAATGAGTCCGCTTTCTACAAAAAAATAACAATAAAAATGATGCAATAACAAACATAGCCACACCTCTTCTTCAGGGGATTTCTTTTGACACGGTTTGTTCATACCACACACAACACCAAGTTTTCCTCCACTTAAAATACTCATAGACAGGACACAAACAGTCAAAGTTACGGTAGTTACAATGACTTCCCAAGGGTGCGACGAACAAAACCGTCCATGAACTCCAAAATACTTCCCTGATTTAGCTTTGAGTTCGGAAGGAGACATGGTAGTAAACCTTGACGACTTCATGTCTAAGGAAGGACCGACTCTCACAACAGAAAAATATCAGAAGATGTCCCAGAATGTGACCACCACACCATTCATGTACAACTCATGCTATTTCAGTTCACACCATTCCGGCATTCCCTTCAGTCGCGACGCCAACGGTACAGCCCTTTGCACTAAACTTGCCACTACCAGTTTTAGTCACGTGATGATTAGCCATAGGCTTACTTAATATTTTTATGAAGTCACGTGATCAGACTGGTGCAAGTTTTGTGCAAAGCGCTGTACTATAAATACCGTGCTTTGCAGGTTGTTTGACCCAATTTTCGTACTTCCTGCTCACGTGACATGTATTATTAGTATGGGCAAAGTCACGTGATTACGAGTTTGCAAGGTCAAGCAACCTGCAAAGCACGGTATGGTACGTGTCGAGGCCCCGGCCCCTCCCTTCATTGCCACGCCCTAGTCTATGGCCAGAAGTTAATCCCATAAATTAATTATATGGTCATTCGCTCCTCCCAGCTAGAATGGCGAGACTTGTAAAGAACTTCATTGGAGGCATTGCTTTTAAAGTGACTGGAGGAGACGTTTATGAGGTTGAGGATGAGGAAAAAGAAAGTCGGACAGAAGACTTAAAAGTTGGTGAAGAAAGATTAACTGAAGGTGTTGAAGAAGGAAGTTCAACCAGTGATGAAGAAGAGGAAGACAATTTTCACATTAATCACCCTCCATATAAAATGGCCACATTATCTAAGTGGACTAATTACATATCAGGCTGGCAGGATCGTTATGTTGTTGTTCGTGATGGCATTCTTTCATACTATAAATCTGAAATTGACCTTCAGTATGGCTGTAGGGGGTCAATCAGTCTTCATAAAGTGTCTGTTTATGTAAGTATGGGTGGAATGGCACTATAATTTGCAATTCATTTCTAAATTCCGTACTTTATTTTATATGATATTGCATGTTTTGTAGATTCATGAATTTGATGAATTAAGGTTTGATATCAGGGCACATGATTGTACATATTTCTTTCGAGCTGGAGATCCAACAGAAAAGGCATCCTGGGTTGAAGTAATAGAAGCAAACAAGGTACACACTGTGCACCAGAATGGTAATGTTTTGTTTCTATTTTAAGACTCATGTTACTTTCTTTACTATGCATGTATGTACATCTTGCATAATAATAGGCCCTTACATGGCATATGCATGAATGAAAAAAAAAGAGTACATGTCACACAATTGAAAAAAGTACCAGTATTTGTAGTATTTGTCTGTGTAATTCTACATACAATACTGTACAATGCCTTAATGCTTGTGCCATGGCATATGAACTGAGATACTTGTTGAGATGGTACTCTAGTTTCATTTATATTTCATGTACATGTACAGTATAGTCCACATTTTTGTTTCTTCCTGTCTTGATTTTTGTTGCTATAGGCTTATCTTATAGAAAATGGTCCCAAACCTTCCATCGCAAGGCAAGCTTCTATTATTTCACTTTCTGGCCTTTCTCAAGCCTCTACATCATCTTTTAAGGTACATTGTATCTTAAACTGATAACTAAGACATATTAAGTTAATTTGCATGTTTAGACAGGACATGATTTACAAGTAAAATTAGCTGAAATGGAGACCTATCGGGATATTCTCTGTAAGCAGATTGATGTCCTTCAGGCATACTTTGATGCTGGGATTGAAAGTACTATTAGTAATGGTATGTTAAAGCTTTGAACCTGCATGATTATTACAACTGATAATTGTAAGGGATTACTACATGGGTTGTTTTAAAACCAAATTTCTTTAGTCTATTTTCGCATTTGCATTACTTCTGTTATGAGGAAAATAGTCTGTTTTTATACAAAAAGAAACTTCTTTTGCATGTAGTAGTCATGTTTAAAAATGCAACTTGAATTCTAACATGAATTGTAATATATAACTGCACATTGTGTCAAGATTTTTTCATAACTGACTCAATTTGTTTATTAACAAATAGCTGGTTATCAACAACACTGGTAACCATACAGTTATCAAACTAACTTATGATCAGTCAGTTAATTGGTCATCTGAATAACTGTCACGGCTCTATGGTATCATTGGTATGACAGTAGTAAAGTTATACTATGCTAAACATGTAGTAAATATTGCTGCACTAAAAATATATTGTTCATGTAATGAAATAAATGGTAATTTTAGTCATACACATGTACATGCATGTACCAGGTATTCTAGTGTATATTGTTTGTATTTGATTATGTGAAGTGCTTTATGCACTGTAATTTTTAATGGCTAATGTTCTCAAACTGTCATAAAACTATTTTTTGATTTAATACAAAGCACAATGAGCACATGTTAGCTCACTTAGCTCAGATACGTATACAGTACATGCATGTATAATTGTTAAGTTTGAAAATAGCCAATCCATGAAAATATAATAGCACAAGAATGACACATTTCATGTACATTTACATGTACAATTAAGGTATATGTATGTATAATTTACATGTATAATATTATTTGTCTGATCTAGATGATGGAGTCAATGAAGTTGTGAAATCAACAGATTCTATTGATGAATTGCCAGAGGAAGGAGGAGAGCATCATAATGGACGCTATTCTCCCTCTCCCCTTACCAGATCTAGTGAATCAAGTCGCTCATCTAAATTACATGATGCTGGGAGCAGCTCTTCACCTGTGGTTGGCCACCGTTTGACTCCAAAAGGTCACAGAAGAACTGGAAGTGATCCTTTTTCATTTCGTCAGATGCCTCACAATCGATCACCTCTACTTCGATCACATGGTGGTTCAGGTGCTACTTCAGGTGGTTTTGACTTTAGAGGTGAAGCGATTACTTTCAAAGCTACAACTGCTGGTATCCTGTCATCTTTGAAGTATTGCATTGACATTATGAACAAGAGGGAAGAATACTGGCAAAAGAAATTTGAGAAAGTTAGCTTTCAAATATTTTCTTTTATTATTAATAATTTTTTAAGGAACAAGAAAGGAGAAGAAAAGCTGATAGAGCAGCTCACTCAGCTTTAAATGGCCCACGAATACGTGCCTATGAATATGCAGGTCCAGATTTTGAGGTACATGCCTGAACGTACAAGTCTATGCACATGCATATGCACATTAAATTTAGTTTATGTTATTTCCTTTGGAATTTCCTACAGTGACAGTATATGCTATATGCTAGTGTTAAATTTGAAATGTTGTGTGATGTGCAGTGGTGAACAAGTGTAGTGTAATTAGCAATGCACTTGTGCACAACTGCACATTAATGTATTTTGATATTTACAACTACATGTATCACTGATGGGTCAATAAAAGAATTGTGTAGTAAAATCATAAGTATATACATGTACATTGTGTACATGTAAATGTATGTCATATTTTATTATTTAGGAAGGTCCACATAGTGCATTGAATGAGGATGAATTTTATGACGCATTAGAAATGGCTTATCAAGAGGATGAACTTGAAGTGATAATAAATTTAGCATACTTATTATAATTATTGTTTATATTTGATATTTAGATTCAACCATCACAGAATAGTAGTCCATCAAAGGCTGTCTCTCAATCAGACAATAAAGTAATAAATACAATGTAGGCTGATGATTATTGTATGGTAGAATAATGAAGCACAACCACAGATTGAAGCTGTACTAGAGGATATAGTACACAAGCCATATACTGGTCCAGAGCACAAGCTAACTCCATTAGTAAATATTATTACTAGTATACATACATGTAATTTAGATTGCTACTTTTTTAAGTGGGCTCTGTGGTATTCGATGCTATATATGCATGTACATGTACATTGTATTTTGCTTTATAAATTTTCAAGTTTGTGTGATGTCGAAAAGTCACAAGTTCAAAATAAATAAACAACACAGTAATTATCCTGTAGCATACATATAGTGACTTAGTTTTTCATGTAATTATAGGTTAATGAGCATGTTGGTAAATATTCAAAGTACGTGTTTGAACCTGTTGAATCAGGTGATGGTAACTGGCAACTTGCACATGAAGATGGAGATATGAAGGTTTGCCTTATTTCTTAATCTTGTATCTTGTATCTTGCATGTATAGGTATACAGAAGAGAGCTTGAAGAAGATGGTGTGGTTGTTGATCCACTCAAAGCACAGCATATTGTTAAAGTATAATTGAATTGCATTGATTTAAATGCTGTGCATAATGTGAATAGGGTTTGTCTGCTTTTGAGATGTGCAAGTACTTTTTTGACAAAGATACTCGATTGGACTGGGAAGGTAGGTCTTGTAATGTATACAGGTATTGTTTTTATAAGCAATTACTTTTTAGGAACTGTTGAGAGTTTTAAAGTTTTAGATAAATTAGCTGACGATTCAGTTGTATTTCACCAGTTACACAAGCGTGTTTGGCCGTCAACGCAGCGTGAAACTGTTTTTTGCTCTCATATCTGCATGCTAACAAATGCTCCTCGACCTGAAAATATGGTGGGACACACATGGATGGTTTGTAATTTTTCAATGGAGCATCCTTCTGTTCCAGTAAGTTAACTTTTTTGTGGATTTTTGAGATTTACATACATGTAAATTTGGCATCAAATGCATGTACGTACATGTATGTACGTGCAGTTCTTGTTCTAGCTTGTACTTGTAGTATTTTATAGTCTGTTCCAATGTTGTATTAGATAACTTCTAAAATGATACGTGCTACACTTAATGTTGGCTTAGTATGTCAGACTATTATCAACAGGCAAGTCGAACCTGGCCAGGAATCTTCCATTACTCGAGATGATGTTTCTTGTAAAATTATTTATGCCGCTAATGGTAAGTGACACATACATGTACATGTACATGTACATTGATGTGTACTTCTGCCTTGGAATGGTGTTATTGATTTGAACTTACAACAATGTATTACATATTGAATGTGTGTACTAATTTGAAAATGCATTTTGAAACATGCTAACATTACCAACATAAAATTTGTGATTTTAGATTTCACAATTAATTTCATTTTATTATAGTTAATCCTGGTGGGTGGGCTCCACCGTCTGTTGTCCGTACTATTGCTAAAAGAGAAATCACAAAATTTCTGAAAAAAATATCAAGTTGTGCTCAGAAAGCAGTATTAGAACAACCTTTAACATTGTAATTGTTTTTGTCTGTATTGTTTGTTCTTTCGATAATAATATATAGATAATAAACTTTTTTTAAAATAATACATGTTATAGCAAATAGCCAGATAGCACTAATAGCACTTTTTAAAGTAGCAACAACACTAGTATTGTCACACCCTTTCCTATGACAAGACTACAACAATTCAGTTTTGTAGCAGCAGCATTTATTTCCACGGACGCCAATAACCTCCATTTTCCCTCATGTAACGACAAGCGTCTGAGTCGGTGGGGAGTGCTTCAATAGAATGATACCCTTGATCTTGTAGGTCTCTTGGCTCCTCACTATATTTATTATAACGTGCGAGTAAATCTTTGAGCACATCTGGTTGTTCTTTAGCAAGATTATGTCTTTCATTTGGATCTTGTACAATGTCGTAAAGGCAGTATGGGTCACAATCATCTCCTTTAGGGCCATCAGTACATGGGTAGTCTAAGGGACTGTACATTATGCTATCACATGACTTCGTATCTTGAGGCCCTACTATTAGCTTATTGTTACCAACAATAAGTGCTCCTTGATTAGGACGCAAGTTTCCATAGTCGAAGTCATATCCAAGTGGTATCTGCTCATGAAGTGTTTTCTCATTTTCTCCATTTATAATTGGCCAAACATTCATACCATCAACTGGAAACTTCCCAGAGCCAGAATCATCATGATCAATACCAGCTAACTGACAAAAAGTAGTGTACCAGTCAGCAATATGAATAAACCCTTGTGTAGATTTCCCTTTTCTATTAGTTGGTAATAGTCCACCATTAACAAAAGCTAATGATCGAACACCACCTTCATAAAATGTTCCTTTTGATCCCTTTAGTGGATAATTACTGCCCCCACAAGGGGCACCACCATTGTCAGCTGAGATGACAAGCAATGTATTGTCCCACATACCATTGTCTTGAAGCAATTTCACTAAATGGCCTGTGACATTGTCAGCTACGCTAACCATTGCCTGATAAATACGACGATTTTGACATGTAGAATTGGCTGGATATATATTCAGCCATTCATCAGGAGCTTGAAGAGGAGTATGTACATTGTGTAGTGGCAAGTATAGAAAGAAAGGGTCTGATGGGTTGTGATTTGTTATAATGTCAGTCAAATCATCTCTATAGGTATAAGCATCATAAGATCCATTTCTTGAATCGGGACCATCGTTTTTCCAAAAATCGGTTGCACACCCAACCTGTTGGTTCATATGATTTTCTCCACCACCAAGAAAGCCTGACATGGTATCAAAGCCTCTGTTGATTGGTAGGTAAGCCTCTTTGTACAAACCTTCATGCCATTTTCCAATCATATGTGTCTTGTATCTAGCTAACTTTAGTTTGGCAGGTATCATTGTCATTTTTAGGTTAGCACCAACTAGTGCATCCTCTGGTGGATTCCATTGATGAGCATGATGAGGCCAACGACCAGTTAGAAAAGAAGCACGTGATGGTGAACAATATTTAAACACATAATGTCGATCCAATATAAGACCTTCCTTTGCTAATTTCTCAAAATTAGGAGAGTGAATTGCTGGATTTCGGAAGCTGACATCAGCATAGCCCCAGTCATCAACCAATACAAACACAAAGTTTGGCTTTGTACTAAAAGCACTAGCAATAGCAAGTAAGGTCAGCAAGAAGTAGAAATAAAGTGCCATTACTTGAATGATGCAGCAACTTTAAATCATGAATAATAAAACAGATTCATAAAGCCATAAAAGGAAGAGCTAAATTTGCCAAAGCCATAAAAGGAAGAGCTAAATTTGCCAAACAATGGAATACTTAATGTTCTAAGCTAATTCATTTCAAACTTAAAATACTAAAAAATTTTGACCACAACATGGATTTTAACATAAAAATATGCACACTTGTAATATAAGTATAGTTTTAGACTAATTCTGTTGATTTTTCTTGTACATGTACATCACTAAGTTTTTCTGTATTGGTGTTACCATGACAACTTTTTGTACTATTGCTGACATTACTGCGCTCACTAGCTCGTCCGTGGAATTTCCAAATTCCATGGTTAGTCATTCGTAGGTAGGTTGTTGCTTTGGATTCAACTTCTGTAGCTTCACTTACTGCATGAGGCCTTATGTCAGATGAAATTCTTTTGCTTTTTGTCTTTGTTAGGAACTTTTTCTTCATTTTAGGCAATATGATCATGCTAATAATAAAAAGTGTAAGAATATCTAGCATTAATATTCACTCTACTTGATCTTTCTTATTTACCTGCCCCACATAATTAGTGAAATAGATGACACCAGTAAAACACTGTAGTATAGCACTCCCCCAAGAACACTGACAGCAGAGTATCTTTGTATCTCCTCACTGCATCTTCCATATTCCGTTACGTATGTAGTTTCTTTAAAATAAATTGGAAGTCTTGGAATTAGGAGCACATAAATCAAAAAAGTGACAATGGAAAATATAAATTCTAGCCAGTTTGCTGCAGGCATGGCATATGGTTGAAGATAAAGGAATAGTCCCATTGTAATGCAGTAAGTAATGAAGACTGGATACTATGAATAACAAATAAAATGTGTATGCATTTGCAATTAATGAATTATCATGCCATAAAACACTGACCTGATTACCAGGAAAAGGCACAACCATCAGCAATAATAAGAATCTCCTTACTAGCTCAATACAATACCACCACTTGTACTCCTTTTTAAACCAAACATGTAATCCAGATTGAAGCCTATGCAACCATCTTATATTCTGTATGAAATAGATTAAAATAATTAATATAGACTAGATCTATATACATTTTAATAACAAAGATCTTTTTTAAATTTAATTATACTTGTAGCTACTTTGATTCAAACATCATGTAATGTAATTATTAATACCGATAAGTAGATCTACTGTACCTCAAACTTTTTTATTGAAAGTAAAAGAGTAACTGGTATGGCAGCAACACAAATAAAAAGAATTAATATTGAGAAAATGCCTAACAGAGCATGTTCATTTCTGAAGCATAAAATACTACCATCTATAAACCATCTCTAAAATAAAAAAGAAGAAACAAATTAAGTAATATAATAAGAAAAATTGCTAACAGATTCTGTTGTTCCATTAACTGATATTCTAGGGCAATTTAAAGCAACAAGAGAAGTGTGAACTGCTTGAGGATAAAGAACAACAAGTAGCAGCCACACAGAAGTCCAGTTACCATAGGCCTTTAAACGTAAAAATTTCCAGCTAATAATAAAGTTATAAATTACGTAATTGTGACCATTTATCTGAAACTTACATAACTGCCAGTATTATTGGTGTTATTACCAGTGCAAGAGCTATAGGTATTAACTTAAATGCATGTGTAGCTACAGGACTTGCATTTGAATACAAACAAAAGTCGTAGGGAAAGTAAAGTCCAATGGCACTTCCCACATACTGAAGCTACAAAAAAATTAATAAATAAAAAAAGAATAACTTACATAAGGCTTGATGTTTGCAAATTCATTCTGAAATACTTCTACACCATAAGGAAGAAACTGCATGTGCAAGTAGTATAATATCAATGTATCATTTTTGAGTAGTGGCTAACTTGAATATAGAATACACATGGGAATAATAATGAAGGATAATTTATGCTTAAGTAGAATCTTAATACGACTATTATGATGCAAATATCAATCAGCACTAGAATAAAACGACATCACTGTAAAAATAATTAAGATTATTATTGTATATTTACCTAATGTTACTATTAGTAAACTAAATGCATCATGGCAAGTGGTACATTTATTCAAAAGAGCACTAACTCCTTTGCCATTGCGGCATTCACCACATAATACACCTAAAATATAATATACATGTAATTGTGTTTATTGCAATTTCATAGCTTACCTTTTCTATTACAGTTACATTGAGAGTCTGGAGTCTCCAAGTTGAAGGTATAAATACATTCTGTGGGCAAATCTCTAGTTGTAAAACAGCGGCAGTATTGAGTAGGGCAATGATATAATGCCAATCCATCATTGTTGTTGCTATCAGTAGTTGCCCAATAGGAATCCTTTTTGAAAGCAATGAATTCATTTAATGCAATTTTGCTTTACTTGGAACATCGGTCCTTTATTGCTACAAGTAATGATATCTTGATTATCAAAGTTACAAGTGCATTTCATAAATTCTGCGTTGCTTTCAAAAGATGTAAGAATGAAACCAGGTGGACAGTCTCTCAACTTGATGGAAAAATTAGAAACTGTTGTTGCTTCCTACATGTAAACAAAATTACTATGAGAGAATGAATGATTACTTTGTACATACTAAATTAAAGACATTATATATGGTCAGATCATACATCCCATTAGTATTAGCTCCTGTGTGAAGTATCACTTGTTTTATTGGCAGCTCTGACTCATTTGTATAAAATGATACAGCTGGTTGCATTAAGACATCATTTCTTTGAGACGATTCTAGTACTCTGAGAGGAGCAGCAACAGGTTCATTAAGTTCATCTACAACTGATAGATTCAACTGAAACATTTCCCCAGGATAAGTAGTGACCTATTATAGCATACATGCATGTATGTCATTATGTGTTAAAAAATTATGCAATTTTTGCCAATTAAGTTATACTGCCACTAGTTTCAAGTTTCATTTAATTTAATATAGTTAGATACAATTATTAAAATTACACCTATTGGTAATAGAAATTTTGGGTAAAATTTTCTATGCGTCATTAACATATCCATAGCTACAATGTACCTGTATGTATTAATAGATTGGTAATTATGGTCATTGTTAGACCCATGCATGGATAGTTAAGTACGATGGTAAATAAAAAGTATAATGTATCTGTATACCACAAGTATAAGCTGCATGTTTAATGAAAAATTATCACTAATTTAACTCACAATGTTTTCCAAGCTGTCAATTCCAACAGCTGATGTCTGCACATACCACTGAGGATTGGTTTTGTTTGTATCATGAAATGTGTTAGTATTTACTCTATTAATAATGAATACATTATAGCCGCAATACACTACCAGCAAAGTGTATTATTACATGTACTTGTGACAAAATATTAAAAAATTATATTGAAAGGGTCCAATAAATTTTTAAAAACAAAACTTATAACAATACTATCAAGCTCATTAGCTAAACAGTCACAATCTTTTTGTCATAATTAATAAATTGCATAAAAAGTTACCCATAATTAATGAAATTCCATTTCAAAACTTCTTCACTCTTAAAAAAGGGATCTTTCAACTGACTCCAAGAGCATGGGTACAGCAACTCAGTGTAAGCAGCTGCACCAACAATTGCCTTGTTACCAGAAAAAGTCATTTTGACCTAAACTCAAATTAAATGCCAGTATGCATGTATATTTCATTGTGAATAATATACACAATTAAATTATTTTACATCTTTCCATTGATTTGGTGTAATTCTTATGTCTTCGTAAAGTAAGAAACACAATGGATTATAAAGTAGTTGAGTGAATGCAGTTAACAAACGTTGAGTTCCTGATATCAAAGCAGCTCCCAAGCTATAGAAATAGAATACAAAATTTATAGTTTTAATATCAACAGTGATTATAGTAACCTTCCAGTATTGTTGTCAAAAACAATTTCTGCTCCTTTATGTAGCATTATCTGCCCAAATGAATTTAATTGAAAAGCACCTCCATTAGTGCCAACTGTAGTAGTATTAAATATTTTAAGACAACCTTTTACAAATGCAATGGCATGAACTACCTATAAATAACATTATTAGATACTGACTTTAAAATGTAAGTATAGACAAAAATTATAGTCATTAAATTGATATTACTTCAATTGCTCCTCCGATGTTACTGTCAAATACTATCATTCCATCAAATGTCACTGGTACATATAAAGCAGAGAGAGCTGGAGAGTCTACAGCCTCGTTACTAGAAAAGGTGCTAGCACAAAACATATAAAATATCCTGGAGATTACTTTAACTTCTACTTACCAGTTTACAATTTCTACTGGAGATCTGCGTTGAGAGCTAAATGTGTCAAGAGTGACAAGGGCTATTGCACTAATATGGACTGCTTTATTTCTGGTGAAATTACAATTCTCAAATCTGGCAAAAGTAAACGTCTGGGCACTAGAAAAACCTAATGCAATTCATGAGCACTTATCAATATTAGTACACAATAATTACATGTAAAAACTGAAAATTACATTACAGTGATCACACTGATTAAAATGAAGGGAATTGGGTGCTTGACTTTGATAACATATGCCATGCATATGTTATTATAATTGCTCATACCACAACAATATAATTATTGGTTATGACATAAACCACAGCAAATGTACCTGGTCTACCAGGAGAAGGATTCACAGTAGCACCACCTTGAAATGCAGTGTTGGCAATAAAGCTGGACTTTTTGACATAAATTGACGAAAAAGCAATATTAGTGGTGCTATCAACAGTTGATGAGAACAATCCACCAGCTCCATATTCACTGTCATTTTCAATAAAATAGCTTCCTTCTACAATTACAGTGTGATTTGACATAGGACCAAAAACAATATATAAGCCACCTGCCCAAACCAATGCTCTATTTTTTTTAAATGTACAATCAGTTATGTAGGCTTTCACACTTTTATTAGGAGAATTTAAAGTAATACCCAATCCACCACCTCTCCCAGTGAAAATGTTTTTAGTAAAAATATCATTTGTAGACCGAGAAAGTTCTGGCGTTGGTAGCGCAGAGTTATTGTAGAAAGTAGATTCAGTTATGTTTATGATTGGTTCTACACCATTTCTTTCACTTAGTGAGTCTATAGTGATTGATAGACCTCCTGAATGAATACTGTAAAACTGATTTTTTAAAGTGTCGGTTACCGGACCACAATTGTTAAAACTACAGCTGATTATCATAATTTCAAAGGAGTTGAGAATGTCAATAGCTCCCTCAACAAAATAACTATATAAAAATGTTTAGATAAATATAAATCAAAATTACTTCTGCAATAATTCTATTAGGGTTACCTGAAACTACTGTCTTCAATTCTGATGCTAGCTACTCTTCGGATTCCAATAATACCAGGAGATCCATCAAAATCAATTCCTCTAATGTTAACATATTCTGCATCATTAAACTGGAGGACATAAAGTGGCTGAAACCGCTTCAAAGAGCTTATGATGACACTGCTAACGTTAAATATCACTTTTGCTACATCTTGGGATTGACATAGCAGTACTACACTCTGATTAAAAGAGTAGATGTACCTAACTATATATGTCCCTCCTCTTAATAGTATCTTGGTACAGTTATCACTAGTTATATTTTGACTTGTAAGACTCAAGGCATCTTCAAGGGAGCTACATTCATAATACATGTCATCAAGGGCTGAGAGTTCTGTGAGCTGACATTCTTTTACTGTAGATGAATCAGATACATATATTTGTACATCACAATTATCTTCTCTGGGAAAAGCAAGGCCTGTAGAGACAGTCAATAGAAGGAAAAAAAGAAGACAGCACTTCTCCATAACAGACTGGCAGGCCACAACTATAGTGATGATGTGTTAAATTAGTTTCACCAAAAAAGGGCATCACAATGTTATCATAGTCTAAAAGGTCAATCACAGTAATAGCTGTAGTATCATGATAACAATAACAACATGTACATGACAAGTACAAAAACAGAAACTAAAATTAAACACTAACAATAACTACATCTATTTATTAGTATGAGATCCATACTGCTGCGGTAAAACCTGCTCGTCATCAGAAAGTAAAGCCAGTAATGGTTCTCGATACTCATGTGTACTCTCGTGTAGCTCCAATACCTGCTTCTTTAACTGGTTACTAGTGGTTTCCTCTGGCTCCACTAGGCTGCTATTAATGGGTTGAGGAGAAAAAGGAACTGAAGTTTTGTGAACTAATTTTCTCATTTTCAGAAAATTGATTATGTTAAAGCGATAAAGAATTATGCATATGGCCCCAAGCAAAAAGACCAGTAATGGTATAATGGTAAGTATGTATGTGGCAACCACAACTATTGTAGCAATCCATTCATCATGAGTGTAAATATACGTGGGATTATTCTTTTCATTGACGAATGATGCCAGAAGAATAAGATCACACAAAAGAAGCATGTCAAGAGCATTGAGCCATTTGTTTTGGTAAGATTGCAAAAGAAAATGAATTCCAGTAATAAGCACTAACAGCAATTGAATAGCAATAGTGAAGTAATCAAAAGTAAGGATGAGCATCCAGATAATCATATAAAGACCAGGGTACCAGCGATACTTATCTCGACAACATGCCTGAAACTGGTCAAGAAGTGGTTTAATACGAAACAAATTTACTTTCATGGCCAGACATGGCGAAAATAAAAGTACCAGCACAAATGGAAGTACTATAATGAGTAGAATACCAATTGCAATTAGAGCCAGTGGTATGTGTGCACCAGTAAAGAAAACTATTTCTGGGTCAATTGTCACACGTACTGTTGTAAGAGAGCCAGAAGTGAATCTTTTAAATTTAAGAATACGAATACTAGTATCTGACAAAGACCAAAAAGATAGTAGCAAGAAGATGCAGATAGAATGAACAGGAGATGTTGTGATCTTTCTATGGATTCGAGGATACTTTCTAGCGACAATTACAGATATTAATAGGACAATTCCAACAATGAGTGACCCTAAATAATGAAAGGCATAGTTTTCTAATAAAGATAAAGAGGAGAAGAAGCACCAAGGTATCTCACCAAATATCTCCATATTTAAAAGAAAAACAGATGTGTAGAAAGACGTAATGATTTTCAACATATAAAATTCTTCGTAATATCCAAATGAGAGTCTACTGATGACAGCAATATAGAATAATGGGCCATAGAGGTAACCCAATCCAAAGGAGAAAGTCGTACTAATAATTATTATAATCAAAAAAGAGAGTAGGAGTTGAAAGAGAATTACAAGTACTAAAATGACATAAGGTTGCCAAGGTCTACATTTGCTTAAAGGGACACATTGTACCCCTTGAAACGACATTGTAGCTTCAATATTGCATCTGGTACAAAGAATGCCCCCATGATAATTATCACACTGATCATCTTGCTTGGCAGGTAAGATGGAGTACATTGATGTACCCTGGTCAGCTCCTATGCCCGTAGGACATGCATCTTTATCAACTCTACAATTCATATACTCACACTTTGCCATTGCAAAAAAATCTTGGCCATCTTTGTTAAGTGTCCCATACCAGTAGCCTTTGATAACACACACATGACCTGCAGCTAGTGAGCATATGTAGCCACTGTGATCGCTCCATGCACATTGACAGGACAAAGCTGACTGGTTGTATAAAAAACCAAGAGGACATGAAACAATTTTTAAATACAGCCATTCTTCGTTTGTGTAACGACACTTAAAACGGAGTGTAGGCGAAGAGTATTGATCAAAATCATCTATATCTGATGCTAACAGTTTTAAATCTGATGTGAACACTTTATAGGATAGTGTTATCTCTGTTGTTCCTTGTAATTGAAGGAGGCCATTATTGCTCCCCTGACAAGTAATGATCTGGTCATTGCAACCAAGGTATACAGTTGCAATACAAGATGTTTGCTGGCCAAATGCCCCATAGAGGCTAGCATTGATCACAATATTTTGTCCAGGGAAGAGTTTCATTGTATCTTTTATGTTAGTATTACTAGATATGGCTGTTATAGAAGATACAGATGATCCAAAACCCAATTGAGAGTTGTATTGATCTGAGATATTAAAGCACCTGTAAAGATAAGAATTCCAGCAACTGTTATCAACTGTATTTGGATCGCTAAAAAATATGTTAGGTCCACTACTACTTGCTTTGTTTCCACTCATATGAACATTCAAATTACAATCACTGTCTTCAATAAAGCACCAATCACCAAAGCTAACTTCTTCAGTGATACCAATGTAAATTGCTCCACCATACAATGCAACATTGTCCAAGAAATTCACACTTGTCAGTGAATAAACTTTAACGGTAGTGGCAGTTGATACAACTACTCCTCCTCCATTGCGCCCCACATTGTGAATAAAAGCTAGCTGGCCCGATAAATACAGTATTGTATCATGAATGTACATTGCAGTACCAGTGTTATTGATAAAATTCGAATCACTCAGAAATATGGTTTCATTTGTGATAGAAACTACTCCATCATTCAATAAACTTGACATACTATTATTAGCAACCGTAATATTTGTGATATTGACAATGGAAAACATTTCATATGGACAAAAATCTCGTTTAAGAATTATTGCTCCTCCCCTATTATTCTTGAAAAGGCTGTCAGTAATATGTATGATCCCTGATCTAGTCACATTAAAATGCTGTATGTTAATTGCATTGCCTACATTGGACATCATAGTGTTGTTCTTAATGACGGCATTGACACTTGTTTCAGTCAAATCTGAAAAGTACAGAGCTATCAATTGACCAGAATTCGAAACATCATTGTCTTTGAAAACATTGCTGTCTGAATAGATTTGAAACTCATCTACATCTGGTGAGTACAACCCAGCCCATATAATCCTTCCATAGTTACCATGAGAATTTGTAAATGTGTTTTGTTCAAAACTAAAAGAAACATGCTTGGCCTTACAAAATGGCATCATAATTGCAATTTCAGCTATAGTCTTAAACGAAATTCCAATGTCAGTATTAATACTGTTATTACTAAAGACACACCTTCTAACAACTCCAAATACAGTGAAGTTTAAGTTGACTGGCTGAATGTAGTATGCTAGTGTAGCGGATGGTGTACTTTCTGACTGGTACTGTCCAACATTATCAATGAAAAAACTATCTTCAATTATGTATGACGATGATATAGTTGGCAGACGAGATTCATTCACGCCCAACTGTTGTACCAATGAGATCTGCCCATAAAAGAATTTATTTGCCACAAATTGACTAGATCCAATGTAAACCTGTCTCGTTCCTTCAAACAACAAATCACCAGAATTGCTAATGATGCAATTCTTCATAGAAAAAATGTCAATGTTTAATAGATGGAAGCCATAAACTTTTCTTTCCTCAAACAAATGACCTCTACAATCGTTAAATTGCAACCCATCAATAGAAACTGATACATTTGCCTCATGTAAGTTAGGCAAAGTATTAATGTGAATATAGCCACCATGAGTACAATGTATTACCATAGGACCTGCAGCAATAATAGAAATGTTGAGATCAGAGCTGTAAGTCACATTCACTGGACTAATTGAGTGAGAATAAGTGACAATTATAATAACAGCTTGTGTAGGCCGAGTTTCCTCAAGTTGCATTAGAGTATAATTTAAACTGTGACATGGCTTTTCTTGATTAGTGAGACACGAAGGCGTATCACGACCAAACTGACTTACTGTTATAGTAGTAAGAACTGAAGCATGGGGCCTTTCAATCAACTGCGTTATAATAAAAAGAAGGAATAAAGCTGCAATTGACTTCATCATTACTGCTTTATCTCTGCTCTGTCAGCTATCTTGTGATGTCATTACAATGCATGCCAGGTAATAATTTGCTAAGGTGACTGTTATCACCACATTCCATTACCATAGTATACTGACAGTAAATTGCATTCCAGCAAAAAAGGTCAATAGTTATCAGCTTTTATAGATTCACTGAAAGTATGTTTCAGAAAATGATGTTGATATGCTGAGAGTGTGTGCTGATCAAAGAACAAGCAATGAAGATGTTTCTATTACTTTTTTGAACTAACTTTAAAGGAGTCTAGCCTGGGCTCTTAAAGTTCCCCCTGCATTATGCCATAACTAGCTCTATTTACAAAAACCTCTTAGGAATTGTTCACATTTAAGTCCGTAACTAGTCTGGTCACACGTGACCAGACTAGTCTGTAACCAATTGGCTTTTTGAAGTTTACCTAAACGTCACAGGTAGCATGCTCTATTCATGGCACTTGGTGAAGGTTACATCATTGCTATAGTTGCTGTGTTGCTTGAAACAGGTAATCAGTTGTATGCTATAAGATATATTTAATCATCATTAAAACAGACATTCAGTTTTGTTTGTAACCACCTTTCCTACACTCTCTCAAACATAGTTAGGATTATGATTATAATAGCCTATGTGGTATTACATGGACTGAAACTAGTTGTGTACAGATTTGCCAAGTAATCACAGAGTCTGACAGAGATAATGATCTTTTACTAGTTTTTGTTTATACTTCTGCTGCCATATTTTTGGGTGCTACGTGTACATATAAATACAGGAACACTTAGATACAGCATGTATTATTTATTTTTCTTAAGCAAGGCTTAAAAGTAATGGCTACTTTAGTAATATGATGTAGGTGTAGTTATATACATAATGCAGACATATGTTTTCAATGTTTTCATCGTTTCAAAGTTTCAAAGTTAAAATTTGTGAAAAGACTCATAATAAAAATAAATCTCTTGGTTTATAAGTGGATGAAGAACATAATCTTTAGTACAATCCTGGCCTTCTTTTTGTAATAATAGATCATCACTTGGATATTGATTTTTAGCTCTAATAAGGGTGTTAGGGCCATATAATCAACCAGCTTTTCTTCACTATCAGCTTCAATCAATTGAGCCATGCTTCTACATGAGTAGTGCAAAAACGTCACAGCATATCACTTCCAGGACCAAGCATCAATAGCTCTGTATTTGGTATTATCTATGATATAAAAATTGCTTTGAGACCTGTACAAGGACACAAACATTACTCTAGACAACCCAATAATGAAGATGGTGGAGGTACACAAGTTTAACTCAGGCAGTGGTTACATTTTAGTTTTGCTATTTATGTGATTGAGAATACATATCCATCTCCAGTAGGGGACAAACAAACCAATATATGATATTTTCATACAAGATATTTGAATGAAAATTAAGCATCCTTGATTATAAGAAAACAATCATTACACCAGAATCTTCTGATGACAAAAAGAAGTTTAGCATAATTTGAAAGTCACTATAGCAAGTCATTTTTACACAGATAGCAAGTCATTGGTGTTTTTTGCACAGAACTGAATCCAGGCAATCTCTTAAACATATTTGTGAAAGTGACTAGAGTTCAAATTGCACCTATAGGGAAATGTTTGAAATTTTATTAAAAGAGGCAAACGAATTTCAAAAGAAGCATCATCAAATGCCTTAATGTCTATTCATAAATGGGCTGACCTATGATGGACATGTACACATCTATATGCTGTGCAGCAACTCAAAGAAGCTCTGTCTCCATGTTGCCTTATGTATATGGGAACTGATAACAATTTTACACATCAAGAGTTATGCCTAAGACGGAAGTACGTTAAAAATAAACTAAAAAAGAGGCATCACAACAATCAATCATAAATTCTGTGACACTCTTTTGTTAAAGACCATGAGAATAACATCACTACCAGTGACCCATTATCCCTTAATTAAGGGAAATCACTGCACACACCGCTGATCAAAAATTAGCTAGCTACAAATCTTCATTCCTTACTCTGGGTACAAGATATTATACACATGGGGTCAAGCTCAAAAGTAGGCTACAAGCCACCAATATTGCTAAACGTCAGGGAACCTTTTTTAATTGCTAGTTCAGTCCACCTGCACATTTTTTTTAAAACTTCTGGAAATACTAAGTAAAATTTTGATGCAGTTAAACATTTAGAAAATTTGGAGTGCTAAAATTTGGCGAATTGACTCTAAAAGAGGTTTGGAGGTTAGAATTTTGGCGAAGTTTTAACTCTGAGTATGCTTCTATGGAGTCTTATCAAATTGAAGACTAAAAATTTGGCGAATGGACCTCAATTTGCCAAAGTTTTACTCCACCAAATTTTCTAGCTAACAGTAATAAAAGCTTCACCAAATACTGGTGACATTCCAGATGCCTTAATTAACTACTAAGAAGTAATGAGTACATCCATCTACAACTGCATGTACCTCAACAAGAAATACAGATGAAGCCCTTTTTAGTGAGCTTGACAAACCACTAATGTGTAGCACACAGCAGGGTCAAGTGATAATGGAAATAGCAAAGAAGAAGGTGTTAATCAGGAGCAAAGTCACTCTTTCATTGAAATTGTCTTGGATACACAGTGTGAGCAAAATGTGAGCAAAATACGTAGTTGAAAAAAAAAGTTGCCAATTAAATTAAAAAGCACACTCATAGTTGCCACTAACTAAGGAAACAATTACAAACCCAAAATTAAGGGTACCAACATACATGTACCTTAATTCCAACTCCAAAGAAAATGAAAGACTCCCCTATCTCAGTTTGCTTTACCTTTTTGGCGACAAATTTTTCTTATAAGTAAACAAACAGCAGTGTGGCTCTTTAATAGCAACAAAGAAGTTTTCACAATCAGTGTGTTCAAAATAACCTAATCAAAAAAACAGAGAAATCATCAGATGGGACAAATCCCTGTACTGGTCTTTAGCAAAAAATTTCATAGTGGTAAGAGATGTGAGCGTAATTAAAGGAAGTAAAAATTAGAAATTAAAACAAAATGAGTACTGGAATTTTGCAAGCATAAAAATAAAAAAAGGACAAAATGGGACTATTATTCGTTCATCAATGAAAAAATTGGAGTGTTATGTACATATACACTATAAATAAAAGTTTGTAAAATAGTAGAAGCACAAATGTATTATTTTACAAAAATTAAATGCATATGCACATACCAAATGATGCATTATTAATAAGGAAAATTCCAAACCTGAAAAAAACCTAACGTTTATACCATCAGAATAGCAACTTGGAGAGTTCAGAATCTCTGGCTTATGGATACAACCACTACAAATATGACATAAGCAACAGAACATAAGGGCTCACTTGATTACTTGCTTTGAAAGCGGCAAACTCACCATGATTTTTCCATTCAAAAAAATCGCTAGGCATAGCAGGAAAAATTCTGAAGAAACACATGTTATTATTATTATTATTATTATTATTATTAAACAACTTCACAGCACATACAAAATATACAAGAATAAACATTAACCGATAAGAAACAAAAAGGTTGAGAAAGTGCTGAAGGACTGCAAGAGAGCAGCCTTTAATAAGTAATAAGGTAAAAGAGTAGAGGAAGGGTAAGAGTGGAACAGGAAAGAGAAAGGAAATAAACAAAAAGAAAGGAAAGACATATA